TGGCACATGGCTGTAATCCCAGCTACTCAGGAGGCTGAGGCAGGAGAATTGCTTGAACCCTGGAGGTGGAGGTTGTGGTGAGCTGAGATCGCGCCGTTGCACTCCAGCCTGGACAACAAGAGTGAAACTCCATCTCAAAAAAAAAAAAAAAAAAAAAAAGGAAAAGAAAAAAACGCCATGTCCTTTATTTAAATTCAGAAAAAATTCAGTGACTCTTGGGGCCTAAAGGCCAAAAAGAAAAAAAAAAAACATTAATTTTCAAGGCACTTACAGTTCAGAAAACAAAAAACATGGACATACTTGAAAGAATAGAAGCTAATAAATTATCAGTTATTACTAATTACTATTATTATTTAGTTACTACTAATTTCTAAGTAGTAATGACAAAAATAGTCATTACTATTTTTATAATTTTTATAAAATTTATATTTATATTATAATTTGTATTATTAGTAATAACTAATAATTACTAGCATCTATACTTAATGTATTAGTAATAATAAATTACTGATTTATTATTGGTATTCTAAATACTATTTCTAAAGTATTCAATAGTGAATTATTAGGGATAAGGCTTTAGAAAAAAGTATTTTTAATTTTTTTTAAAGAAAATATACTTGATAGCAAAATGTTTATCTTAACTTTGTAGATGTACAGCAGCAGCAAGAAAGATCAACAGTTCTAACACTTGCAGAAAAGGCAATTAAAATAATAGAAAATATGATGATAAATTTTCGAGAGACTAAATGTGTATGTCCATGGATCAATAGAATTTTTACTTACTACCATTTACTCTTCGTATATGGACAGCAATCCCTTTCTCTCCCAATTGTGCCACTTTCACAGTTACATACTAGTGATTTATAACATTAACCCTAGGTATATTTTATAAAATAAATATAAGTGGGAAAAAGATAAGTTAAAGTAGTTGTATATATTAAAAAGTAGGTGAATGAATTACTTTCACAAAACTACTAAAAGATAATGAATTTATTATTTATAAAAGGGGAAAAGTAGAAATAAGGTATCTGACGGTATACAACTGTAGAAAAATGTCTAACCTGTTAAGCTTCTTTCGTCAATATGTTTTTCATTTTGGCTTTTTTATTTTATAATGTTCTGTGTTTATTCACTCTGAACTTTGACTTGTAAAAGTCTTTTGAAATTAACCATTGATTTTTATTTTCAGTGACTTTTTGGTATTGGCTCAATGCCTATTAATACATTTTAAACGTTACTAATAACAGTGATTTTGGAATTCCTACGAGATACAAAACTATATTCATTCCTCATAATTTCAGGTATAGAGGGCTGTAAAATTAGAAGAGAAATCAGTATTACTTTATAAATAGACTTTGAGATTTTTATCATTGGAATGTATTTATTTGAATTAGGAAATTGATGAAGAAGGGTATGATGGCTAATAAAATGATTTTTGAGTTTATTCTGGTTGAAAACATGAAATCTGCTCTGTCATTTTGTTACTGCTGTATAAATTTCCCCTTGAAATACATGGGTAAGTAGTTATAGTCATACTGTGATTGTTACATAATGAGAGTTGGAAGTCCATAGATATTTTAAGTGGGCCAGCTAGTTTTGATACCATAGAATACTTAGCCAAAAGATATTTATATAATCAGAGTGAATGAGACTGAGTCATGAACATTTTTTTTTTTCTGGGAGCCTTTTCCTTGGTCTTGTTTATTGCATTAACTAAATTAAGAAAAATAATGCTGAAAGTGGATTTAAATTATGCTTATTGGCTGGGCCCAGTGGCTCAAGCCTATAATCCCAACACTTTGGGAGGCTGAGGTGGGTGGATCACCTGAGGTCAGGAGTTTGAGACCAGCCCGGCCAACATGGTGAAACCCTGTCTCTACTAAAAATACAAAAATTAGCCAGGCTTGGTGGTGGGTGCCTGTAATCCCAGCTACTTGGGAGGTTGAGGCAAGAGAATCCCTGGAACCCTGGAGAAGGAGATTTCAGTGAGCCGAGATCGTGCCACTGCACTCCAGCCTGGGCGACAGGAGGGAAAGTCAGTCTCAGGAAAAAAAAAAAAAAAAAAAAAAAGCGTATTATAACAAACCAAACAATTCAGAGGTATGCATAGAAGAAATTAATAACCTGTCTTATTTGTAATAAAACTTTGCTGATAGTGTTCGGACAAACTCAACTCACCAAATATTTATTGGGTGCCTACTATACACCAGGTCCTCAACTAAACTTTGGAAAATGAAGGATGATGAGACAAAGACATGACCTCTTACTCAAGGAATTCATAGCTTAGTAGAAGTAGAGATACAAGTAAATAAATATGTAAAACTTAATATAGAATTATGTATAAGGACTATGTTCTGTATAAGTAGAACAAAGTAGGGAGTAATTGATCTTAATCGGGAACATTAGTAAAGCCTGAGGAAGGTTTTAAAGCATGAATAAAAGTTTATTGTATGATTTTGTTTTATGTTTCCATAATATTTTTGCATTTTCTCAATTTGTGGAGGCCTTTCTATTTCCTTACCACCTCTAATAATTTCTTTCATTTTTTCCCCCTTCTTTCTTTGGTTCATTCTTTTGTCTTAATTTTTTTTGTACTTCCTGTTTTCCCTTATTTTTGTATCCTGTTTTCTTTTTATCATATCTCTTTTCTTATTTTTGACAGTTTACCACCTGCCCTACCTATTATTGGGCTTCTTTGTTGAATTCTTTCTTTCATTTTCTTCTGGGCCTCATAGCTTGTGCCTAAAAATATACTCCAGATCTGACTACTGCTTACCACCACCCTGCTACATTACCACCCTGAATCCGAGCTGTCAGCATCTCTGGCAAGACCTGTCCCCCTTTATACTTGATTTTGCTAGCTTTCTAACCAGTCTGCCTGCTTTCACTTCCTACAGCCCTATAGCTATACAGCATTCAAAGTAATCCTTAGAAACATAAGTTAAATCATGCCACTTTTCTCGTCAACATTCTAAGTGGCTCTCTATCTGACTTAAAGCAAAACTGAAGTCCTTATAGTGGCTTCAAGATCTTATACTATGTGGTCCTAATTATTACTTCTACTGTTCTCTTCTTTGCTCTAACCACATCTACTTGCTTAGTAACTCAGGCCAAGCATGACTCTATTTTAGGATTTTGCAGTTAGTCTGCCTGAAATGCTCTTCCCTGGATACCTGGATTTTTGATTCCCTTGTATTTCAGGTCTTTGCTTACATAACCTTCTTGGTGAAACTCTACTTCACTATCCTATTTAAAAATCACATACTTTAACTGATACTACCTTTCCCCTTTTCTACTTTATTTCTCTCCATAACAATAACTTCCTATGTATATTTTGCTTTTTTATTTCATGTGGTGTTTGTTCCATAGGGCTATAAATTCTGTGACATTGGGGATTTTTTTTGTGTGTTTTGTCCATTGTTCTTTTCCAATACCTGTAATAGTACCTGACATATAAAAGGTGCTCAAAAAAATATTTGGTGAATGAAATGCCATTTTCAGTATTCTTGACTAGGTTATTTCACATACTTAGAAAGTCAAACTTGGGATTGTTTTTAATTTGAAGGTTTTATTCTAGAAATAATTGCTGAAGTTGTAAAACCAGTTCTTTGCCTATGTAATATAAACATTCCTCTATCTTGAAACCATGAAGCAAGATTCTATTATATTGTTTTAAGAATAGTTCATATAAAGGATGAAGCGCTGTCCTTTTGGGAATGATTAGTTGTTTGAAAATTTGTACAGCTCTCACATTAAGCTTCCTTTGTTCTGGTTATTCCCTGTCACACACTTATGTCTTCCTGTGTAGATTTTACTATTATCAGTTGCCTTTAGCCATACTTACACATAATATGGAATTTATGGGGATTTTTTTCCTGTCTCCTTTGCTGAGGATGCAAAGATTTTTTTCTATTCATGTTAGTAGGTATGGTTTCCAGGAGAAATCAGAAAATTCACAGTTAAGTGTCAGCAAGTTTTTATCAAAACCTGCTTTATTTTCAGAGAAAAAAAAAATCAATGAATGCTGTTTTTAAAAATAAATAAAAATAAAAGGAGGGACCCACAGAATGGGAGGAAATGTTTTCCAGATTGTGTGTCAGGTTACAGTTTAGTATCCAGAATGTATAAGGAGCACTTACAGTGCAACAATAAAAAGACAAATATCCAAATTTAAAAATAGGTAAAGGATTTGAATATATAATACTTTTTTTTTTCCCCAGAGAAGACATATAATAGAAATGGCAATAAGTACATAAGGAGATACTCAACATTATTAGTCCTCAGGGAAACGCAAATCACAACCACAGTGAGGTATCACTTCATACCCAGTAGGATGACTAAAATAAAAAGGACAGACAATAACAAGTGTTGACAAACATGTGGAGAAACTGGAACCCTCAAAAATTAGACTTATTATATGACCCATACTTCCCCTCCTAGATATACAGGCTTCTCTTGGAGATATTGCAGGTTCGGTTCTAGACCATTGCAATAAAGAAAATATTGCAGTAAAGCAAGTCACACAGATCTTTTGGTTTCCCAGTGCATGTAAAAGTTATGTTTATACTGTACCATCGTCTGTTAAGTGTGCAATAACATTGTGTCTTAAAAATCAATGTGTATACCTTAATTTAAAAATACTTCATTGCTAAAAAGTGCTAATAATCATCTGAGCCTCAGTAAGTTGTATTATTTTTGCTGGTGGAGGTGCTTACCTTGATGTTGATCACTGCTGACTGATCAGAGTGGTGGTTGCTGAAGGTTGGAGCTGTGACAGTTTCTTGAAATAAGACATCAGTGAAGTTTGCTGCATCGATAGACTCTTCCTTTCTTAAAAGATGTATTTGTAGCTTGTAATGCTGTTTGATAGCTTCTTACCCACAATAGAACTTTTCTCCAGATTGGAGTCAATCGTTTCAAACCCTGCTGCTTTATCAACTAAGTTTATGTAGTACTCTATAATAGATCCTTTGTTGTCATTTCAGCGATGTTCACAGCATCTTCACTAGGAGTTGCTTCTTACGGATAAGCAAAGAAAGTGGTTTGAGCCTCAGGAAACCACTTTCTTTGCTCATCTGTAAGGAGCAACTCCTTATCTGTTCAAGTTTTATCATGAGATTGCAACAATTCAGTCACACCTTTAGTCTGTACTTCTAATTCTAGTTCTTTTGTTGTTCTCACCTCATCTGCAGTGACTTCCTCTACTGAAGTCTTCTACCCCTCAAAGTGATCCATTAGGGTTGGAATTAACTTCTTCCAGACCCCTGTTAATATTGTCATTTTGACCTCCCATGAATCACAGATGTTCTTAATAAGGCATCTAGAATGGTGAATCCTTTCTAGGTTTTCAGTTGACTTTTCACAGATCCATGAGAGGAATCACTATCTATGGCAGCTATAACCTTACAAAATGTGTTTCTTAAATAAGACCTGAAAGTTGAAATTACTCTTTGATCCATGGGATGCAATGAAAATGTTAATCTCCTTGTATATCTCCATCAGAGCCCTTGGATGACCAGGTGCGCATTGTCAGTGCCCAGTAGCATTTTGAAAGGAATCTTTCTTTCTGAGCAGCAGGTCTCAATAGTGGGCTTCAGATAGTCAGTAAAACATGCTGTAAAGAAATGTGCCCTTACCTAGGCTTTGTTATTCCATTTATAGAGCAGATTCAATTAAACATAATTCTTAAGGGCCTTAGAATTTTCAGAATGGTAAATGAGCATTGGCTTCTGCTTAATGTCACCACTGCATAAGCACCTAACAAGAGAACCAGCATGTCCTTTGAAGTTTGAAGCCAGGCATCAACATTTCCTCTCTAGCTGTAAAAGTCCTAAATGGCCTCTGCTTCTGATAGAAGGCTGTTTCATCTGCATTGGAAATCTGTTGTTTAGTGTAGCCACTTTGATCAATTATCTTAACTAGATCTTCTGGATAACTTGCTGCAGCTTCCACATCAGGACTTGCTGTTTTACCTTGTACTTTTATGTTATAGAGAGACAGCTTCTTTCCTGAAACTGCATGAACCAACCCCTCTTAGCTTCAGACTTTTATTCTGCAGCTCCCTCACCTCTCTCAGTTTTCATAGCATTAAAGAGATTTAGGACCTTGCTCTGGGTTAGGCTTTAGCTTAAGGGAATGTGATGACTGGTTTGATCTTCTTTCTAGACCACTCAGACTATTTCCATATCAGCAATAAGGCTGTTTCATTTTCTTATCGTTCATACATCCACTGGAGTATCACTTCTAAAGGTTCCTTCCAGAACTTTTCCTTTGCTTTTACAACTTTGCCGTTTGGTGCAAGAGGCCTAGCTTTTGGCCTGTCTTGGCTTTCAACATGCTTTCCTCACTTAGCTTAATCGTTTCTAGCTTTTGATTTAAAGTGAAAGGCATATGACTCTTCCTTTCATTTGAACACTTAGAGGCGATTGTAGGGTTATTAAATGGCCTAATTTCAATATTATTGTTGTGTCTCAGGGAATTGGAAGACTCAAGGAGAGGGGGAGAGATGGGGAAACAGCTGGTCAGTGAAGCAGTCAGAATACACATAACATTTGTCAGTTAAATTCAGAGTCTTATATGGATGTGGTTTATGGCCCCCCAAAGCAATTATAATAGTAAGATCAAAGATCTCTGATCATGGATCACCATAATAGGTAGGATAATAATGAAAAAGTTTGAAATATGAGAATTACTGAAATGTGACACAGACATAAAATGGGCGCATGCTGTTGGAAAAATAGCACCAATAGTCTTATTCAATGCAGGGTTGCCACTAAATTTGTAAAGAAACCACAGTATCTGTGAAATTCAGTAAAGGAAAGTGCAATAAAATGAGGTACTATGTTTCAGTTCTTTTGGGTAGTTCTCCTGTATACCCAAGAGAATTGAAACATGTTCCTACAGAAACTCGTACATATGCTCAGTTCAGCATTATTTATAATAGCCAGTAAGTGGAATAAGTTTATTCATCAACCAGTTGACGAATGGATGAACAGAATAGGGTATCTTGCTAAAATGGGGTATTATTTGCCATGAAAAATGAAGTACTGATACCTACTACACTATGAATAAACCTTGAAAACATAATGCTAAGTGAAAGAAACCAAACACAAAAGGCCATGTATTGTATGATTTATTTATATGAAATGTTTAGAAAAGGCGTATCCACAGAGACAGGAAGTAGATTAGTGGTTGCCAGGATCTGAGCAGGGGATGAGTGGGGAGTGGCTGATGATGGTTTGTTTCTGGGATGATGGAAACTGTCTGGAATTACATAATGATGATGGTTGTACCGCTTTATGAATATACACCACTGAATTGTATAATTTAAAATTAAGTATATTATGGTATGTTAATTATATTTCAATACCAAAATGTTTAAAATGGATCAGATGTGGTGGCTCATGCCTATAATCCTAACACTTTGGGAGGCTGAAGTGGGAGGATTGCTTGAGGCCAGGAGTTCAAGACCAACCTGGGCAACTTGGCTAGACTCCATCTCTAAAAAATTTTTTAAAAACTTAGCTGGTTGTGGTGGCACATGCACCAACTACTCAGGAAGCTGTGGCTGGAGATCATATTAGCTCTGGAGTTGGGGGTTACAGTGAGCTAGGATGCGACCACTGCAATCCAGCCTGGACAAGAGTGTGAGACCCTGCCTGGAAAAAAAAAAAAAAAAAAAGTTAAAAATGTAAACATTAAAGGGAGCAGTCAAGAGTGATAGGTGACATAAACATGTCAAGTAAGCTCTGAAAGATGCTGTTTGAGTTGGCAATTGATTATTGATCATATTATTGAGCATTTTTATAATTGATCAATGAACTTGGCAATTGGTCATTCACTGCTGACTGGTGAGAATGAAGTTAGTGGAAAGATAGGATATCAATGGAAAGATTGACTACAGTGGATTGAAGGAGAAGTGGTAGATTGAATATAGAATTTTCTCAAGAAGCTTGAGTAAAGTGATAGCAAGAGAAAGGACTGTAGCTGTAAAACTGAGGTTTTATGAAGTTGAAATATTGCTTTTTTTCCTTAAAAATGATAAGAACCTTTAGCATGTTGTGACAAAGAACCGAGAAAGAAAATGAATGTAGGCAAGAAAAGAGAGAATAATGGGTCAAGCAGGATACTCAAGGAGTTGAAGGAATGAAATAAAAAGCACAGATGGAAAAATTAGGCTTAAATAGAATAAATGATACACCTTTCAAGAAAGGCTGGAAGGAGTTACAAAGTTGTAGATGTAGGTTTAATTTGTAGAATTCAGCTGAAGAAAATGATGTCATTTTTATTTTCTCTGAAGTAGGAGGAAAAATTGTTAGAGGGCAAGAATGAGGGCAGCAGGATGGAATAGATAGCCTGAGGCAAGTCATAAAGGGTTGGAATAGATTCTGTTTGGGAATCGAAGAGTAAATTGTCAATAATAAGTAAAAATAATGAGGACTCTCCTTGTTAATTAGGTATGTGGGTAATTTACCTAGACTATATTTATCATCACAGTTGAAAACTAAGGCTCAAGATGGTTAAAAATGTCTTCCTTTTGTCAGCTGGAAGGTGATACGGGTGGGATTAGAAATCACACATACATGATTTGAAAGTTGCATTCAGACTCTTTAGGTTGAAGATATAGATATAGGCTGTCAACATCAATGGATATTTACCCTCAGAATGAGTGCTTCAAAAGACTGATGTGACTTATACCAGTGTCTTTCATATTTTCATGTAGATCTAATTTGCATACTCAAGAAGTCGGGAGATGGAAATAGACATAAAGTATGTTTTAAGAGTACAGTAGATGAGTTTTAGACTTACATAGAATTTACCTGTTCTTATTTTTTAGTTGCGACAACCACCAGTTAAGCGTTTGAGACTTCGTGGTGATTGGTCAGATACTGGACCCAGAGCAAGGCCGGAGAGTGAACGAGAACGAGATGGTAACTATGCTTTGGTCAGCTTTTCCTTGTATATGGTATTTTAAAATTAATATTTTAACTTCCGGTTTCTTCACTATTATAAATGATTCTGTAATGAACATTCTTGTACATAAAAGTATACTTATGCAAATATATCTTAGGATAAATTCTTAGAAGTGGAATGGCTGAGTCACTGGATAAGTACCTTTTAATTTTGATAGTTGTTATCAGATTACTCTCCAAAAAAGATGTGCTAATTTACATTCCCACTGAAAGTATAAGAATGCCCATTGTCCCATAGTACATTGAGTGTTGTCAGACTTCTCAATTTTTGCCTTTCTATTAGATATTAAGAGAAATGAAAACTCAGCCTAAGAGTTTTATATTAGCACATAAAATTTTTTTTCTTTCTATCAAGTGCCTTTGATAAGCATAAGAAACTACCCTGGGAGCTTTAAGATAGCACTCTTGAAAATATGATTAATCTATGAATTGTAATTCTGTATAATTATGTTTTATTAAATTGGTCTGTAACCAAAATCTTACCATAATGACCTCTGAAACATTTTTTGTGATCAAAAGCATATTCCCCAACATATGAGCTACATTATATAAAGGCAGTAGAGTGTAAAAGAAACTCCAATTTCACAGAAAATGTGAGGAGAACTGATTTTCATTTTAAATTATAAGACTATAGAATAGAGTTGTCACATTTTGAATTTGACATTACACTTTTAATTTGAAAATGCCCTTGGAAAAACTTGTTTACTTGCAGGAGGGAAAGGAGTGAGGGAGGAGACAAAATACTTTGTGGTTCCAGTTAATTTCAAATATCTGGAATTTTCTTACAGTAAATGATGATGAAAATGACTTTAAGGAAACTTCATGTAAAAACATAAGGCTATTTTGTGTCTGTACTTCATTATAATGCTTTAGGGGGAGGGAAAACCTTTCTTTTAATTTATTAAACTTAGAATTCATGAGCCCTTCTTGGCTGGGTACTCTTAGAACTAAAAATTTAGGTTGAGGTAGGAGGTGGGAGGTTTAGAGGTACCTAAGAATAAGCAAAGACGAGTGAGAGGTGAACTCTGTTCTCGAGAAACTTTACCATACACATGGAGAGTCACTCATAAAACAATTACTATAAAATGTGATGAAAGCTCTAATAGATTTATATATATTCGTACAATTTATTTAGGAAAT